TGTCGCATGCGACAAAGTCGCACCGTGTAAATAGGCCCTTAAATAGTCAATAGTGACATCTCATTTACATCTGCATCTATTTTTATTAAGTTGGTAAAATCTGCACAGACATCACACCAACCAACTCGCACGCAAAGTGAGGAGACTGTATGAATGCTTGAAATTGTATTAAGTCTGCATTTTGTACCCACTCTGGAGTCTGCAGTCTGCAGTCTACATTTTGTACTTAGTCTACATTTTATATCCGGTCTGCGCTCTGCATTTTGTACTAATAGGTATCCGTGGCACCGATACAGTTTACTTTTGGTTATAGTTATTCGCACAACACACACAATCAACCACAAAATACCTGTGAGTGAGTTAATTCGACGTTTTCGTTCTTTTCCGCGTTAATACTCTTTTCTTTTGTAAAAATATAGACATCACTTACAATGTTTCAATTAATTAATCCACCCAAAAAAATAACTCTTGCATGCATAGCATGCTTATGTTTTAACCTAGACACCGGTGATCCACACTTATGGTGAACTGACCGATTTATTCTCCAAGCTTGTGAAGTTTTCCGCAGGGATTCTCGTTTCGCTAATCACAGAAGTACAGATTCCTGTTTTGCAAATCATAAGCATATTCCCATTTCGCAAATTACAGATTTCTGTTTTGCAAATCATTAGCATATTTCCATTTCGCAACTGACAGAGTTTCACTTCGTTTCGCTTTGTTTCGCAAATTACAGTAAGCCGAAGTAAGTAGTGAAATAAGCATAGTTGGGTAAAAAAAACTGAGAAATTACTGCGTGAAACACTACTGGAAACCTTAGAAAATTATATGCAAAATAAATACATTCAAAGATTAGATAATTGAGGCGCTGTCTGGCATGACTTGAATCCATTGTTCGCACGAAATTCACCTTTAACAAATAAAGAGTAAATATCACTGCCTTTACAAGGTAGAGACGAACAATGAAAGGTCTGCATCAACTACAAAAATCAAATGCGATCTAACTCAGTCTACAGACGTAAGCTGTTCATAGAAAACATTTCCTTTGTGTCAGTGTCAGAAGAAATTTCCTAACCGTCGTCGTTCAGTTAACCATTTCTTTTATTCTCTCTTTTATTAAGCAGTTAATACAACGGGGACTAGCTCTAGTCTCTCAAGGAAAGTGTGGGTCACCGCTTATAAGAGTGACGCCTACTGAGCTGCCAATCTCTAACCTTCGTCAGGCTTTTACACTTAACTAGCGAATCACACTAAGCTACGCAGAGCAGAGTTCGTATACTAAATAGGCACCTTCGCGATGTTTACGCTTTACAAATAACTTTCTACTTTAAATTTCTTAGTCTTACGATCAAGGTCGGGCGAAACAAAAAGGAGATTGGTAATATAAAAATTATAATAAACTTGCTAACAGAATTAAAATCATACTCGAAAAGATATGTTAAGATAAAATAGTCTTCGAAGACTGTTGCATAACAGTAGAATAAACAGAAAATTCGGAGAAGAAAGGTCGTACCCAAGGTACCGCCCCTAAAAGAGCCACGTGCTAGCTGTATAAGTTATCTGATTAATAATTCAGTGCGGAAGATGAAAAGTACTACATGTTTACACCTTAAGTCACCTCTAAAAAAAAGGAATTGTACGTGCTAAATTAAATTTTAAAAAATATTTTCCAGATAGCGAATACGACATGGATTTAGCCTAAAAACGAGAGTATTAAAGAGGTGAAAGTATAAGGGAGGGTTATTTCCACGAAATTCC